TCTCCTGGTACACACATGGCATCCAGAACGGAGCTCCACTCCCGCACGGCCCCGCCAGCTTGGAGCAGAAGGCCAAGTCACCTTCACCTCTTCACTCAGTGCTGGCCGTGAGCCGAGTCCCGCATGCCCAGGGTTCCGGGGACAGAAGCCACAGTGTGGGTGAGATGCTGACAGCCACTGGGGCTCCAAATTGCCTCAGAAATTAGGATGGGAGGAAGTTAAAAAAAAAAAAAAAAAGAGCCAGGTTGGGCTCTGGGAACCACTTGGCCTCAGTAGAATCCTTCTTTGAGTAATGATAAAAGAGATTGCTCTGCAACAGGCTTCTAAATCCAGAGCCTTCCACAGCTACTCCAGGACACTGTTAAAAGCAGACGTTCCTCGGCGGCTGCCACAGGCTGTTGACGGCCTCCTGATCCCGCGGGGAGCAGATAGCATCCTTCACTGTTGAGTTGTACCCCGTCTCCTCCTTCCCTTGTCCTTCACTCTGCGAGCTCTGGGCAGGGACATGTCGGGGCGCAAAATTTCATTTCACTATTCTCAAATTTCAGAATGCAGCTTTACTAACCTTTAAGTTGTCATGCCTTTTCTCATTTTATTTTTATCTTTATTCTCTGCCCCTTTTAAAACTCCATTCTCTTCCCTTTTTCTCTCCTCAGGCTCTCTCCCCTCCATCCTTCTCTGCTGCTCGTGCCTCACCTGCCACCTGCCGGGTCCTGGGGTGGTGGATCGTGGTGGATTCTGGGTGTCTTGGCCAGAGGAGGGGATGCTGGCTCCACTGCCACACGGTCGGAGTCTGGTGACTCTTCCAAGCGCTCGTCCTCGTGGGCAGCCTCAGAGCGTGCTGTTCTTGTTGTCACACCGCTCTCAGTAAACCCAAAGCTCTGTTTCCCAGAATTCCTTCTGTGCCCTTTTCTCTGCTCTCATTCGAGCCCACGTAAGTACAGAAAGGAGGCCTTCGCGGGTGGGAACACTGGGTCTGAAAATATATCTTGAGACAAAGCCGAGGGAAGAACTGAGTCATGGCAGCAAGGCCCAGCTTCTTTCCTCCCTTTCTTCCCTTCCCAGCGGCTCTTTGGCGGGGCTCCGCCAGACAGCCCTCCCCAGAGTCGCCATGGGCTGGATGAAGAACACACAGGGGTCAAGAGGTCAGCTTAAGTGTCATGTTATGCTCTCCCAGGTGGGGGGAAACATGAGAAGCTGTGTTCTTTGAATCTAGGACTTGAGAAACTGGGAAGGACTTAGAATTTGTTGCGTTCAGCCCTTGTTAAAAGTCAGGAGGCTGTGACTCTAAGGTCACATAGAGAAGGCAGAACTAGAGCACAGGTTGCTGGGCTTACAGTCCAATACTTTATCACCCAGATGCCATCCAGAAGAGACACCCGGCCTTTGTCTCCCAGCCGCACTTGACTATGGTCAGACCTGCCTGCCAGAGGATGTCTAGGGCAGCCCTGTAAGCTGGATTTGCTCCCAAGAGAAGCAGCTTCCTCCTTTCTCTGCAGCCTAGGCCAGAGGAGAGGGCTGGCTCCATCCTTTGTTCCCCTGGCCCTTGAGCTCAAGACGAGACCACTGGTAGTGGCTTGGGAATGCTCTTGCTCAGCCCTTGTGCCAGACATTAGAGCTAGAGCAAGTGAAAGAGGCCATTAGGAGGGAGGGGTCCTCGAGCTGGAGCAGAAAACCTTTTCTTCTTTGGTGCCTGTCCCTCTGAAGGGAGCATTGGATGCCACTGAAGGGAGCATTGGAGTGGCGTTGGCCCAGTGTGAGCCAGCAGATGGGGAAGCCGAAGTTGGTTAGGACGTGCTCATGGAAGAGGTCCCTCCTCCTGTTCCCTGTTGGTGTCTTTGCTGTTCCAATATCAGTAGTAGGTACCCTAACCGCAAGGGTACAAGGACTCTTTGGGGGCTACCAACTTGGGAATAAGGCAGCCAACTTAATGGTCAGAGTGAAGGTGACATCCCTGCTCCCGCAGCCTCTCCTTGTGCTCTCAGGGCAGGGCCCAGCCCCTCACGATGCAGCTCCAGAGACCATGGAAAGGAGAGTGTGGGCTGTCAGCCGGGTGTCAGAGCTGCCCTCCAGTCCCAGAGCAGGGGAGACCTGAGTGTCTGGAGGCAAAGCCAACCAACATCTTAACATTTCCTTCCGTGCCCCATGCTCCCTGTCCCTAGAAGCAGGTGGAAGCCTCTGGGAGACTGACCAGGTGGTACTTGGCACCTGTGCCATCTGTCAGCCACCTGAGGCCATGTGTGTGGTCCCAAGTATACTGAGGTGGAAGTTCTGTCCTTTGCACAGAGCAAGCAGTTAGAGCTGCGGGAACTGAGGGGCGTGACTGTTTACCATGTTTCTTTTCTCATGCCCAGAATGCTTCCGGCCAGTCACTCATAGGCTGACGGACATAGTTCTGTGGCTCTAAGGGCCTGAGCGGGTTGGGGAGGCAGGTGGGTTGGGCTGTGGGTGTTGAAGGCCGTCTTAGGAGGTGCTGAATTGGACTTGGGGCCACAGTGTGGCTGGGTGAGCGTGGAAAACCTTACTTTTCCGAGCCCTGACGGAGGCCTCAGCAGGGCTTCCAGGGCCACTGTTCTGGAAGTCAGCCTAAGCCCCTGCCTCGCTGTCAGTGGGCTGGATGGGACCACCTCCCTTTTCAGCCTGCCCGACTTACCTCTGCAGGTTGCTTGATGCACAAGGGCTACACTGGGTGCCATTGGGACAGCTTGGTTTTCAGGTCAGGATGACTTAAGTCACATTGACGTGGAGGGGGTCCCACCTGGCCCCGCTGCTCTCAGCTCTTCAAAGATGGGGAGAGTTGGGGCCTGCCGGAGGGCTGGGCCCGCCCGCAGACAAATGAGTCTGTCGGCATTCTGCACACAGCCGCGCGTTCGCGATAATTGGCAAGGCTCGCGTCTGGGCGAGCGGGCGGGCGGATCGATCCGGCTCGCTTTGGCTCTAACAGGCTGGCCGCTCCACGAACAGCAGGGGTCGGATGCCTGGTGTGAGCCTGTGCCACTCTGGAAATGGAGATGCTTAAGCCCGCGGGCGGGTCTGGTGAGAGGTCCTCCATGGCAGCACGAACAGTGGCTCCTTGTGTTCCGGTGGGGGGGGGCGCAGCAGCGAGCCATGGCGTTTTCTTGAGCTGTGAGCTGAAAGCTGTCGCGGCAACTGTTTAATCCAGTCGCCCTACATATCGGCCTCAATACCAGAGGCGTGGGCTACGGGCCCGCAGGGAAACGTGGACCCGCCTGCCTGTGTGGGGCGCTGTCGCTCCTTGTACCCCACACTGCTCTATGACAGCAAGGTATCTTGTTCCGGAGGCCCTGACTTTCCAACCCGAGAGCCAGAGTCCCCCAGGAGTCACCGGGAGCTGGCCCACTGGGAAGGACGACCCTGTGAAGTAGCTGTTTGGAAACATGCTTCCCCCGTCACTTCCAGTTCAGCTCTCTCTGAAAGTTGAGATTTGCCTTCCGAGGGGCAGGCGAGGACAGCAACGCAAGTAGCCCCGACCCTTCCTCAGAACCACAGATGCGTGTTCCTCCCGCCTCACCCCTGTACGGCAGTGGGGAGGGAGGCATGGGAAGAGTTGGAGGTCAAGGGAGCCAGACCTGGGGGCGGCGGGGGTGTGTGTGTGTGTGTGTGTAGCAATCAACAGTCAGTGGGCGTGTATGTCTGCTAATGGCCATGCAGCTGTCCCGAATGTGCACTCATAGACCTTTTTTGAGCCCCTGCCACCAGAGTGTATGCTCAGGGGTTCCCCAAGGTGAAGGGTACCATGGGGTGGAACAGGCCCTCACCTAGCAGGAAGGAAAGTGGTGGGTTCCCTGCATCCCAGCTGAGCCCTATGCACAGGCTCAGGGAAGGTCCTAGCTGCCCACCCTTTGGGGAACATTGAGCCCGTGCCAGAAGTGCTCCTAGGACAGGCAGGGACTCAGAGCCTGCCCTCAAACCCCCACCTGGCTGAGCCCCATGGCCTGGAAGCAGCTCCAGCAATGGGCACTCATTAGTTCACAAACAAGGGTTGTTGACTCACTGAGCCTGTGCCTACTGGGCGCCTCTTATGTGTGCTGCACCAGGCCCTGGGGCTCGTCCAGCTCACTGCGGTCCAGTGGGAATAATGAACTTGAAATTGCAGCTGGAGTAATTGCCATAGGCGCTGGGGGGTAAGAGGGAGCCTGAGCAAGTGTCCTTTACCCTGAGGACCTAAGGATTCAGCCAGGTGAAGACCAGCCTGCAGCACGAGGCCTGGGACAGATAGCTACTCCACATGTGGCCCAGATGCAGCAGCCCAGGATGCGTGTCACAGAGCAGGCTTTGTGGAGCTCTTCCCTTGGGACAGAAGGGACTAAAATGAGGCTGGCTCACACCACTGCCAGGAGGCTTTTGTGGCTTAGAGAAGTCCTGCAGACTGGAGAGTGTCCCCAAGAAGGTCCTGGTCCCTGGGAGCCCCTGCCCTCAGCAGACTGAGAAATCTAGTTGACTCAAATTGTTTCCTTTCCTCCCCATGCTGGGAGGCTGAGGCTGAGACAGGGAATGCCGTGGTCTCCCACCACTGGGTTAGCAGTTGGAGGGAGGTTGGACTCTCTCTTTAAGGACTAGGAAGTTCCCTTCTAAGTGGCCTGGTCTGGACATCCAGGGATTGGAGCTTAAGTCTGACTCAGAATGTGGGGGAAAAGTTTGAGTCATTCTCTTTAAATCCCCTTGAGTTATGGTGGCCCTGGGGTAGGTTGGGGGGTCTTAGCAGCAGCCCCCTCTCTGAGCCAGGCTTTGGGTCCAGTGCACCGTAGAAGTTTGCTCCCTGGGCAAGGGGACAGGTCCTTTTCCTCCTTGTCAGACTCCTAATCACCCAGAGAGCAGCCCCTGCTCAGCAGCTGGGTCAACATTGGGTGGGGAGGGGCCCCCTGTATAGGGGTAGTGCAAGGATACCAGGCATGTCTGAATACTCTGGTGGTGGCCTCATCCAAATGGGGTGGGCAGTGTTGAGTGCTCTCACTCTAATACTTGTCCTTGGCCTCCAGCCCTGGCCTAGTGTGTCCAACCTGGCCAAGGACTTCATTGACCGCCTGCTGACAGTGGACCCTGGAGCCCGTATGACTGCACTGCAGGCTCTGAGGCACCCGTGGGTGGTGAGCATGGCAGCCTCTTCATCCATGAAGAATCTGCACCGTTCCATCTCCCAGAACCTCCTCAAACGCGCCTCCTCACGCTGCCAGAGCACCAAATCTGCCCAGTCCACGCGTTCCAGCCGCTCGACACGCTCCAACAAGTCACGCCGTGTGCGGGAGCGGGAGCTGCGGGAGCTCAACCTGCGTTATCAGCAGCAGTACAACGGCTGAGCCGCCTGGCTGGGGTACAGACACGGCTCGGTCCCAGCCTGGCCACTCGTTGCTGTGCCATCTGGGCCCAATGCCCTCTCTAGAGGTAGGCCTGTACGGATATGGCTAGCGGTAGCTGAAGAATGCCCCAGCCCCTCCTCTGTGCCTTCAGCAGCCCCCATCCTCACCATGGGCATGGGCCAGGTGTGACAGAGTGGAGGTGGCCCAGGGGCTGTGACCTCCCTGAACTAGGAGCCTGGCCTGACACTGCTACTCCTGTTGGTGGGCAACTGCTCTGAGTTGGGGGAGGGGACAGGCCCTGGTCTTCACTGTCTCCCTTACCCTGTGGCTCTTCCCCAGACCAAAGGGCCTGCAGTGCTGGGTGGAGGGTGTCCCATGGCCCCAGGACCCTCTGTGATGGTTATTTCTGGAACACCCCTTTCCTCTGCAGAGCCTTCCTCCCTGGCCCCCCACATTCCATGGCATCCTGGTCCTCAAATCAGGCTCCAGTGGGAGGCCCGGGTAGGCACAAAGCTGTGCCTTGACTGGACCCTCGGCTCCTGGCTAGATCCAAATAGGCCCCCACCTCCCAGCCAAGATCAGTCTTCCTTCATGGTGCCCCCAGGACCCCTCCTGGCCCCAGGATTCACTAGGACCTCTGGTGGTAGGACCGTGGCAGGGCGGTGTGGCAGGACTGGTGGCAGCCTTGCCCCATGCTCCAGCCTCTCTCTGACCATGAGAGGGTTCCTGCCACCAGCCCGCCACCCTCAGTGCCGCCTTTGCAGAGTCCACCATTGCCTCCCTCTCCCGTCTCACCCATTCCATTCCCCAGGTGCCTCCTTCCCCACTGTGGGGGAGCCCCACTGCTGCTACCTGGGGGATGGGGCACCTGGGGGCCGAGGCAGAGGACAGGGAGTTCCCCGTTAGGATTCCATTGTCAGCCCTGGTACCGCCCATGGCCCCTTCCCTTCAGGCTCTGCTGTTCCCTCCTCGGCAACTGCACGAAGGCGCCATCTGGTGTCTGGCGTGGGTATAGCACCCTGGGAGTGACCACTGCACATGCGCCGTGCACACCCATAGTCCTCCGCGAGGAAGTGGGAAGGAGTTGCTGCATTGGGGGAGGCTCTCGGGCTGCTCAACTCTACCCTTCTGCTGAGCTTCTGCGCACCTCTCCCTGGAACTTAGCCATACTCTGTGACCTGCCTCTGAACCCTGGGTGCCGGGGCCCTGGCCTTCTCACAGCTGGCCTTGCCCCGTCCGCCCTGCGCCCGCTTCCTTTCACAGCGTTAACCTTCCAGTCAGGGCCCGCCGGGCTCAGGCTGGAGGAGCCCTTGCGGGAGGTGGGTGGGGTTGGGTGGCTGCTTCTCCACCTGAGCCAGAACTGTCTCCATGTCTCTCATGGTGTCTCCCCCTACCACAAACCAGGCTGGAACCCAAGCCCCCTCCTTCCACAGCTGCTTTCAGTGGGTAGGAAGGGGCCAGGGCACAGCTTTGGCCTTAGCTAGACTGCAGCGCCCCTGCCAGCAGGGGGGCTTGGGCCCCCACTCAGCTCCTCCCAGTGGGCAGCCTTGGGCCAGGCCCTCTATCTGCATGTGCCACGTCCAGTGGGAAACCAAAGAGACCACTGTGCCAAGTCGACTGTGCCTTATACACCCCCTCCTTCCGTCCCCACTGCCCCCAGGGCAGGAGGCAGTGGAGATCCGAGCACCGTGGCCTCAGAACTTGCCCCCAATTCCCCAAGTGTCTCTGGGGCCCTGAAGCCCTGGGGATTTATTTCCTCTCTGCCCAGGGTAGTCCTGGTCCTGAGGGTAGGACAGGAGGGGTTTGGAGCCTTGGGCCTTTGATAGGCCCACCTGGGCCTTCATGCCATGGAACATGGACAGAGAATGTGCAGTTATTTATTTTGTGTACTCAGTTGGTAAATGTATCCTCTGTATTCAATAAACAGGCTGCCTCCTCGGGGAAGGCTGCCTATTCGTTCTGACAGCCCTGGCTCCTTGCTGTAGGACCAAGGAGTTGCCCCAGAGGAGGAGGGGTGGGGGCTGCAGCCTGGGCTGCTCTAGGATGAGCCTGACTCCTCAGCCCCTTCCATGCCAGAAGACAAAGTCCTAGTGGGGAGTAGGACCCTCAAGAGCCTGTCCTTTCCCCTGAGCCAGGAGGACAGACAAGGATGGGGTCTTTATCAGATGGGGAGGGGAAGGGGGGCCTGTGGTGGGCTCAGTTGTAGGCTACGACCTTGTCGATCCAGGTGCTGAACTTGCTAACCCGAGTGTACATGGCCGGTGCACGCACGTTGCAGTTGTTGCTGCCCCAGGACACAAGTCCAATAAGCACCCACGTGTTTTCCTTCTGGCAGACAAGAGGGCCTCCGGAGTCACCCTGAGAGGGAAGAAGGGAGCAGTGTGCAGGGTTGGGGAGGTGTGCCATGGGACATTGCAGAGGACAGGGTGCTGGTGCTCACCTGGCACGAGGAGGCGCCTGAGCCACTTGCACAGATCATGGAGTCTGACACGTGAGCCCCAATACTGCTGGCAGAGATTCATGGTGACCAGGGGCAGAGCCACCTGCTGCAGACGTGCCGGTGTTGCATTGCCTGAGGGCCAAGAGGGGTGGTCAGGCCAGCCCAGGATGCTCATCTCCACCCCAGCCCTCCCTCCCAGATGTTTAGCCCAAGTTCCTACCCACGCCACTGAGGCGGCCCCAGCCGCTGGTGACACATGTGAAGCCTGCTGTCAGCACCTCATTTGAGGACGCCAGGCAAACTGGTGAGATGCGTGTTGTGTACTTGGCTGGCGAGGCGAGCTTCAGTAGCGTCAGGTCATTGTTTATAGTGGCGGGGTTCCAGCTGGGGTGCGTGATGGCCTCTAGGGCCAGGAGGAGGCTGTGTAGGGCTGCCCTGGGCACAGGCACCCAGGGTTGATGGGCGCTGAGTGGGGCGGCCAGGGCATGCCCTGAATTCCTGGTTCCCAGAGCCCACCCGGTCTTCCTTCCCTGCCTGCACCCAGGCACTCACCTTCGAGATGGACAGAACCTGCAGTCTCAGCACTGGAGGATCGGCCGTACTCGCCCAGGACGACAAAGTGGCGGCCAGGGCTGTGGGGAGAGTGAGTCTGGCAGCCTCAGGCAGGGCAGAGAAGGGTATCCAGGGAAAGGAGAAGGGCTGGGGCGGGGCCAGTGGAGTGCAGGTGCTCACCTGACATTGCAGTGGGCAGCAGTGACCACCCAGGACTGGCTGATGAGAGAACCACCGCAGAAGTGGAAGCCGCTGGGGTCAGGGGTCAGAGGTGGGGGTGGCCTCAGGCTACGCCTAGGCATGAAGCACCCAGGACCCTGCCCCACCCCTATGGTATGCATAGCTGCAGGGACACCTGCCAGGGCCAGGAGCCCAGCACTGCGTTCTCCCCGTTGACAATCCTCTGGCTGAAGCTCAGTGCCGGTTTGATGGCAGGAACGCCGCAGCCTGGCCATGGGGCTGGTGAGGACCTGCTCCCCACACCCCAGCCTACCTTTCCCCACCTCCTTCCCCAGGGTGCCGCCAGGCTGTGCACCCCAGAGACGTTCAAATTGAGAGGACTCAGCACTACCCCTTCTCTTCATACCCGGCTGAGCACCTGCATGGCTATCTCAGTTATCCCCGCCCAACCAGCCCCACGTGCTGCCCATTCTTCCACATCTTTTTTTAATTTTTTTGAGACAGATTCTTGCTCTGTTGTCCTGGGTAGAGTGCAGTGGCATCATTTATGGCTCACTGCAACTTCAAATTCCTGGGCTCAAGTGATCCTCCCTCAGCCTCCTGAGTAGCCCATCTAATTTTTCTATATTTAGTAGAGACAGGGCTCACTCTTGCTGAGGCTGGTCTTGAACTCCTGACCTCAAGCCATCCTCCCGCCTCAGCCTCCCAGAGTGCTAGGATTATAGGGGTGAGCCATGGCACCTGGCCACTTCCACATCTCTTTCCAATCTAGTCCTCACTGTTCTGCATCTCCGCCCCAGCCCTCTGGCCCAGGCCCTTTCTCCTGACCCTGGGATAGTCTCTTCCCTGGCCTCTGCTCCCTCTAGGCCTAAACAGTTCAAACCCTTCATGCAGCCAGAGGGTTCTTCCTACACTACATGGCCAACCTTCCTGTCTCAGCTTCCTAAACCCTCCCAGGCTCCAGGGCCTGGTTCAAGCTCTGGTCCCATTTGTGAGACTGGCCCTGGCCCGCCTCCTGCCCCACCCCAGCCTGGTGGGCTCGTTCCTGCTCCCTTGCCCTGGCACATCCCTCTTCCTGTGCCCACTCTGTCCACCTGCGTCCCTTCCAGCCAGCCGGGGCCCCTGGGCTGGTGCTGGGAGTGGGGGTACCCTCAGGGCTGTTCAGCCAGGGTTGGTCCTGGCCCTGGCCCACTCACGCCAGGAGGAGCCAAGGAAGACCAGGCTAACGGTCAGGCTGAGTGGCAGCATTGTTGCAGGTGTGAGGTTGACAACTGGACCTGGCTTTATAGGTCTTCTCATCCTTGAGCCAAAGTTCCGGGCCTGGAGCCAGGCCAGCTATGTGTGCTCAGCCCCTTCCCATGCTCCAGTCAATAGTCTCTTTAGGCCAGGGTCCCCCCACCCAGGCCTGGGCTTATCGAACAGAGCACAGGTGTGAGGCCTCACCTCCTCCACCTCTCAAGGCCTGGCCTCTGGTTGGCTCCCTGAACCGCCTCACGTTTTAAGAGTTGAGCACTGGGTACCAAAGACAGATTGTTAAATTAAGTCTATAGTAACCACCTGGTGGCTGGGATCAGAGACGCCTCCCACGGCTATAAGGGCACTCTCGGTCTGACCCTCTGTGGGTGCTCAGCAAAGGCTTGTTGGCTAAAGGACATCTCTCCCGTGAGTCCGTGACCCCATCAGTGCAGAAAACTTGGAGTCAGTCTCCCTACTCACAGCCCAGCATGTGCCCGGCTTCGTGTAAGCAGCCCAGGTAAGACTCATCATCTGAAGCGTCACAGGTAAAGCATTGCAGGGGTGAGGAGCACTTGGTGAGAACTTGCCGTTGGAGTTGGGGAGCAGCTCCTCTGTCAGCACTTTAGCCCTCAGTGGGGCCCCTGGGGAGCCTGAGAGGTGTGGACTCTCTCCTGGGCCACAAGAGGAGCCAGGGAAAGGTTCTAGGGAGAGGCAGTACACGGGGTCTTTTGGGTTTTACAACCATCCCCAGTGAATTAGCGCGGCAGAGGAGTGGGAGGGGGAGAGCTTCCACGGTTGGGGTCAGAAGGAAGGTTTGGGGGGAGACTGGATGGGAGCATCCCCCTTGCGCCTGCAATGTTGGCCAGCGCTGGGGTCCTGGAGGGGTAGATGCCTGAGGTGACGGGTGAAGGGCACCTCTTAGGCCAGGCACTGAAGCACTGGCCCCTGCAGGGAAACCTCAGAGAGCCCTGCTGGCTGCCTGCCCCACTCTACCCAAGAACGACACAGCCATCTGTTTAGGTGTTTGTATTTTCTGGGTTTATTCCCCCTCGTTCCAAGCTCTGAGCCTCAGCCTACTTTACTCCACCTCCATAGTTTGCACGGTTTCCTCCAGTAGCTCCAGGTTTAGTGGCTTCACTGCCTGAGTCAGGACAGCTGTGGTTCCAGGCACAAAGCGGTAGAGGCTGGGCCTGAGAGGGAGGAGGAGCAGCCATTCGACTTGGGCCCATCACGTGGCCCATCCTCCTCGTGCAACCCCATCTCCCCAGCTATGCCCGACCCTTCCCTGTGGTCCCCCATCTCCCCAGCTCCCACCTCTTCACGGGCTCTGTGGGTGAGCTCAGCGTCCGCTGCAATTTGGCGCCAGTCGCGGTGATCACACATGCATCCACGCTGCCCCCAGAGCCCAGGTCACTCAGGATCCCTGCGGTGATGGCTTCCACCAGCAGCCCCTGCGCAGCCTCCAGCTGTGGTGATGTGCATGTAGGCCTATGGTGTTACTCAGGCTACAGTCTGGGGAGTTTGTTAATCTTGAAGCCCAGACTATTCACCACTTGCTCACACCCCTCCTCTCCTCCGCCCCAGATTCCCCTCCTGGGTCTCTGTCTCCCTCTCTCCCGAGACCCGGTGTTCCCTCTGCCCACTGCTCTCTTGACAAACTTCCCAGAGTCGCCTACACTCGTGGCCCCCCTTCCAGCAGCCTGTTCACCTACCCAATCTAGTGTTGCCCCTCAGCCCCCACTGTGTTTCTCTCTCTGAGCCTAAGCCACCTCTGAAGCCACATACATTCGCCTTCCATCACCCCAAACCAAATCCAGGACCCCACCGGCCTGTCCCTCCTCCCGGGGCTCCAAAGGATCCTCTGTGAGCTTCCACTTCTCCCGCCCTTCCAAGCTTTGGTATTGGACGGTGGTCTGTTGGGACCGCAGTTCGCTCTCACTCCACTCACCCCTCATTCGTCACCTCTTTCGAGAAACCTTCCCCGACATCCATACTGGGCCAGGGTCCCTTTAAGGTCCTCCAGCTCCCGGATGCACCGCCCACCAGTGACCACGTACTGGGGGTCAAGGTTGCTCACCGTCATGTTTGGCTGGAACCGGTCCTCGAGCACCGCCACGGCCGCATCCTGGCCGGAGCCTGCAGGCGGGAGGGACACCTGAGGTCAGCTGTGGCCACCCCGGCTGGGGGACAAACGTGAGGCCAGGGTCGCAGGGACGGAGTTCGAGAAGGGGCGGTAGCGCTCACCCAGAGCGATGAAGGGCTGACGGCTGTAGGAGCCGTGGGGGCGCACGCTGTAGAGTTGCGGTCCGGCCAGGTCTACACCACCCACGATCAGCGAGGCACCCACGTGGCCCTGGTACCTGTTCGCGGGTGGGCGTGGTCGGCCGCGAACGCGATCCAGGCCCCGCCTCCCTAAGATCCCGCCCCTGGACCCTAGCCCCGCCCCTTCCTGTGCCCTATCACCCCTTCCTGTTGCCCAGCTTCTCTTAGGCCTGCCTCTTCCTGTTTTCCGGCAAGTCGCAGCCCCGCCCTGTCCCCTGTCCCGCCTGTCAGCCCCGCCCGCTCCGCAACGGCCCCTTCTAGGGTCACTTAGCCCGGTCCCCGCACCGGAAGAGCGTCTGGCGCAGGATGCGGGTGACCGTGGCCACGCGGGGCTCACGGCCCGTGGACAGCGCGTGCAGCTCCATGTTGGATGCCACCATCCGTGTGGTCATCTCAGCGTCCGCGGCCACGCCAGCCCCACAGCAGCTGAGGGCAAAGGGAGGATCGGTGTGGGCAGGGCTAGGATGTGTGGGGACCCGGGTGGAAACGAGGGGGCGGTTTTTCTTGCGTGCGGGAACGAGGCTGGGGATTCTCACTAGATTTTGGGGGCGACGAAGTGGATCTTCTCGCAGTTCTTGTCCGCCACGACCGAATCGTTAGTGGCCCGCGTATCCGCGCCCAGAATGACCCCGTCCTGGGGAGGGGAAGGGGCCACTGCCTCAGCGCCCACCGGATACCTCCGGCCGCCCCTTCTAGCCCCCCGGTCCTTCCCAGTGCTCACTCGGAATACAAGGCCCGCGATGGTGGTCCCGGTCTTGCGTGCATGAGGGACCTTGAGCCCCGGGAGGACGCGTTCCAATGATGCGTTTCTGGAAACGAAGGGGGAAGGCCAGGGTTTTGGTTCTGCTTCTGAGTCTCCTGTCGCATCCCTCAACCCCGTCCCGGTCTCCCTCATCTCTCGGGATCAGCCTGAAACCCAAGTGGCCCAACACACTCTACTTCACCCCACTCCCAGCCAGGAAAAAGGCCCACGTCCAAGCGTATGCAGCTCGGGACTAACTCTCCCCTCTTCACCTCTGGCAATTCTCGAAGGAGAAGCCCCCTCGTGGCTCCAGCTCTGGCTTAAGCATGTCGGGGAGGGCAGGGCCGATCAGGGGGGTCGATGGATCGGTCAGACTAGAGGGGCCTGCGGGGAGCAAGAAAGGCCTCCGACAGGTCTCCTATGGCCTCTGCAGAGCTCCGCGTCTGTTTTTCCTGCTTTCACTTTCGCCTTCACCCTTCCTCAGAGGTGCCCCTTTCTGCATTTTTCTTTCACTTTCACCGTCACCTCTGATCCAGAGCAGGTTGGGGAAAAGGGTTGATGTTCTTTGCTAGGCCCTCCATGCTGCGCCCTGGGTCAGACAGAGGGAGGCACCCCTCCGTCTGGCCAGCTCCTCCTTCCCTTTCCAATCTGAGCCCCACCTCTCTTACCCCAACTCCAGCTCTAACCTCTGGTCCCAAATTCCCTAAAGCTGTCAGATGGTTGGCCAGGTCTGTGCATTGCTACCGGCCTCCTAATAGCATCAGGCATGGCTGATTTTTGTCCTTTGTCACGTCTTCCAACTCTTGCCTCTTTTGTTGCCTTTGCCTCCTCCCAGGAACCTCAAACACTGAGACTTACTCCTTAGCCACAATGATGCTGGTCCTTCCATTCTTCACTGCCTCAGGCACCATCTTCCCTCTTTCAAGAGGGGCACCTTGGGTGACCATCTAGTGGCCTGGAGGCATGCTGGGCTCTACCCATGGCCAACCACGCCCTGTTATTTCACCCCCCCAGTGACCCCTTATCTGTATGCATCTCTGTCCTAGACTGCTAGTCTTGGCTAGCATTCTCTCCCACCTGGATTTGCACTGGCCTCCATGGTTACCCCACACTTCCTACCCCCCACCCCTAGGCTGCATTCTACCCTACAAGGAAAGGGTCTTTCTAGATTGGATTAGTCCTAGTCTTTCCTTGGTTAAAACCCTTCGGCAGCTGCACACTGCTCTTAGCTCAAAGCCCAGTCTTTAAAATGGTCCCTGTTACCCTTCTGACCTCAGTGGAGGCACTGCTCCTCCGGAAGCCTACCGTGACCCACATGGCTCAGCCTCTTGCTGCTCGCTAAACTTTCTCAGAGCACTTAGCTTCATTAATAATTATGAAATGATCTGATAACTGGTTGTCACTCCAAGACTCTAAAGTCTTGTGCCTCTGTTACTCACCCTGCACTCAAAGGCCCTGTCTCATCTGCCCTTTTGGGAGTTGGGAGGGACAGCTCAGATCTTCTCCTGCCTGCACCCCCATGGCCCGGCTGTGGGTACAACTGGCTCTGGTCCCCACTAGCAGAGGCAGGAATGGGGTAGGCTGCCCAAACAGCTCAACCAAGAGAGTGGGAAGCTGCACGTTTCAGGGGGCCCAGTTCAATCCCAGGCCTTAGCAGAACCCATCTGCCTCATGTTCCACAGAGCACTGAGCCTGTGGCTAGTGATGCATGAAACCTGGTGTGGGGACTCCCATGCCTCCCTCTCATCCCACAACACACATCAGGGCTTATAGCAGCAAAGGCAGGTCTTTTATTCGGGGGGCAGGGGCTCTGGGCTGGCACTGGCGGATGCAGGGGAACCCTGGCGGTAGGCACCCAGCAGGATGGAATTGATGTGCTCCAGTGTCTGGTTGCTGAAGACCATGTTGAGGTGCTGTAGCCCGTGCAGGGGCAGCAGGTGCACAGGCTGTGGCTGGCGGCTCTGCCAGCGGCCACAGAGGTCGGAGCTGCGTGTGGCCACTGTGTCATCGCCATCCTCATAGAGAGCACCCACAGGGTCCGTGTAAGGGAAGTCATGGTCGTAGATGTAGGTGTGGGGCGTGGGCAGGCCCACACCGTAAAGACAGTATACTTCCACGCCAGGTGCTGGGAGTCCTTTCAGCAGGTCACGTGACTGTAGCCACATATACCAGCCTTCCTCAAAGCGCAGGTCTGCAAAGAAGCGCTGGAAGTCACGGCCTGTGTAGTTGAAGCTGGGTGTGGAAATGAACACGTGGTCCTCAGGCCAGGCCATGGTAGAGGGAAACATCCACGGGGAAGTCGTCGTTATGCGTTGCTCCTCTCTCAGCTTGATGCTGGACATGATTGGGATGCCCTGGTTGTCACCTGTGGACATGGAGCAAGGTGGGATGGGGAGCCAGGCCTGGCTACCCCTGGCCCACAACTTGCCCCTAATGTAAAGCTTGGCTGGGTGCTCATCTTGTCCCTGCCCAAACCAGACATGGACTCTAAGCCATAAACTTGAACGAGCCCTGGTATTCAGCAGGTGCTCAATGAGGGCTTATTAAATGTCAAGCCCTGATGGCATCTCTATAAGGCAGAGCTGTAGTACCTCAAAAAGAGGGCAGGGTGGCCTTCCTGAGGATGGGTGTGTGGACAGTGGGGGCGGTGCTGGCTGTTGTCCCCAGGCATGTCCTGTTGGCTCTGGGGTGTGGCCTGTGCTGCTCAGGGATCAGAGCTGTGTTCTGGGAAGGATGGAATGAGGCGGTGTCTGTGTCTGACTTTGCTGGGGTGATCTGCGTGTTCCCTCACCAGACTGTGAGCTAGCTCCTAGGAGGGAGGCTGAGTTGGCTGTGCCCAGCATATAGTGGGTGCTGAATCGGTGGTGGCTGTGCTGGGTCCCTGGTGCCAGTCTCCAAGGAAGGGGAGGAGGGGCTCCTAGGGTCTGGCCTGGCTTTGGCAGATCCCTCCTCACGAAAGCAGATCCCTGGGCGAAGGGGCTCCTGGGAGCAGAAGTAGCTAAAAGCTAGGTAGGCAAGATCTGGTGCCTCAAGGAATAAACCTTGGGTCAGATTGCTGGGGTTCACTTCCTGTGTTTACTTCCCCTTTGTCATCACTGACACAGACTCTGGAAGGAGCCATCCTAATGGCCCAGGCCAGGGTCACTGCTCTGGGGGACCAATGGCAGTTGGCATGCCCGGGGAGGGGGGGAGGGTAGAGGTCAGCGTGAGCAGGAGCTGGGGTGAGGGTAGGCCCCCTGCCCCAGCACGCGAGTGGTCAGAGGCCATCTCACCTGAGGCCAAGACCAGCATGGGCTTGATGGAGCCACCCCAGGGAGCCCCGAGAGAGATGAAGCCATCAATGAAGCGGTCCTTCCAGGACTGGGGCTGGCGCAGCAGGAAGTAGAGCAAGTGCAAGCAGCCGAGGCTGTGCCCAACGAGGAAGACGGGCTTCCCGTAAGCAGCGTGCATCTCCTCCACCAGTCTGGCCAGCTTCCGGTAGTACTCCTCCTGCTGGCCTGCAGACGGGTGGATGGGGTCAGGGCAGTTGGAGTCAGGGGTCACCTGTCCCGCCCCCCCAGCCTGTCATCCACAGAGATACTCACTGGGTTCCAGCCGCCAGTCATAGGGGGCGGCCCGCACAGTCTCATCCCGCACGTAGCCATTGTTGACCAGATTCTGCACCAGCGTGTGCATGTAACCTGGGGGCAGGCAGCAGCACTGGGGGCTCTGGCCACGACTCTGCAGGCCACCATAGGCTGCCCTTGCCTGGTCCCCCAGCACACCCACCTGCCAGCTTGCTGGTGTCCAGGTACTCAACAGAGTAGGTCTTGCCAAAGCCGGGGACACGGATCTGCACACCGGGGGCGTTGGACAGGAGCCCAGAGCTTCGGTTGTAGACAACCCTGTGGGCGGTGGGACATTCAGCAGCCACTAACCAAGGGGCAGCATGCAGGGGCCAGGGCAGAGCACATGGCACATACCTGGTGTTGTCTATCCAGCAGTCCACCCCGAGGGGCAGAAATACATTGAGATCCAGCCAGATGGTGAAAAAGTCCTCAGTCTTGCGGTAGCACATCCAGTTCACCACATCCGGTTTATCCAGCTTGGCTTCTAGCTGATTCCCCAGGCAGCCAGGCACTACGAGCACCAGCCCTCACTCTGGACTCCTCAGGTTCCCCCCACGGCCCCTAGCCATCACCCCCGGATGCTGCAGGGTCCAGCCCCACCCTCCCATCACCCTCAACCCCAGCTGCAAAGGACACACATGCTCTCCTGACCACGCCCCCCACCCCCGGCAATCCCCCCAGTAGCCCAAAGCCCAGGCTTCCCTCAGGAAGGGAAGGTGTAGGGGCCAAGGCCACTGACCCCTGCCTCTGCAAAGCAAACACCCAGCCCAGCTCTCCACTGCTGCCAAAGTCCAAGGTGAGAGCAGATAGGTATGGGGAGGTGGCGGCAGGCCTTGTTGGACCCCTCCTGCCCTCCTGCCCTGGGCTGGGCATCTTGTCCTTGGTGGGATGGGGACCAAAGAAGGAGTGGTGGGGCTTGGCCCTTGGTCCAGCGTGGCTGCAGCTGACTACAGCTCGTAATGCTCTGGCCGAGACCTTAGGCACACCCCATACCTCGATCCACCCCCGTGGGACAGGCAAGGCAGAGACACAGGCACAGTGTGGTGGGAGAAGAAGGCAACTTCCCTGCAGGACAAGCCTTTGGCTCCTCCCCACACCAGGGTAGGTATCCAGGCTACTGCAGGGGCAGAAGGACCTTGGCTAGGTCGGTTACCAGGGGCTGGGGCCTAGGCTCCCCAAGGTCCGGCCTGGTGCGTCAGGGGCCTGGCGGGGGCTTACCGAGGATGACGGGCCGTGTGTGGTTATTGAGCTCAGCCTTGGGCGTGGCGTGCGGGGGGAAGAGCACATTGAGGAGCCAGAATGGGGCAGCCGGGGGGAGGAGCAGCCCCACCAGCAGCCCCCACTGCCACAGGGAGCCAGGCGGCCCCATCCCGGCCCTAGCGCCTGCTGCCAGACTAAGCTGTCCTGGGCCGGCTTATCTGCTGCAGGGGGGAGGGGCCCCAGGGCCAGTGGGAGGGACAGCCTGGCCCATGGGGGTGGCCAGAAATTGCCGGAAAGGCCACAGCTGCGGGGAGCCAGCTCGGGGCCTGGATTCAGTTCCGCTTTCTTCCCTTGCCGCCAAGGGAAACAGCCAGGGCAGCCGGAGGCCCAGAAGTATACAATGTTTTATTGAAAAAGTCAGGCCTCAGCTGGCCGGCTCCATTCAGCTCGGTGTGGTGGGGGTCCCTGCCCACAGTAGCCCAAGCCAGGTCTTCCTGCAGGCGGGCTGGGCTGGACCCCTCCCTTGCTACCCTTCCCCTCCTCTCCACTGGTGACATCCGAACAATAAATATGCAATAAATAGCACTGCTGGGCTGGGC